TCTTACGCAACCACTGTCTTATAGGTATCCATCATTGACTAAAATGTTGTTATGCGGCACATGATGGTATTTACTAAAAGAAAACCTCAAATTCTAAAACAAAGAAGAAAGATAAGCTATGATGCTAGTGTTCTAACTTGATGTGTATTCAAAACATCACTACTGACAGCAACAGCTTTCTTCTAAATAGTGAATAGCAATGGTTGTATGTTGCATATTATCTTTGTTTTTTGTAATAAAAATTATAAATGGACTTTTTCAGAATAAATCGCCAAAACCAATGAGAGTAGCCAGTGCAGGCAGATATCATATTAAACACTTTAAAACTTAAAACAGTTTTTCCTGTAAGTGGCTATATTCATTTGTCTAGAACAGCCGTGAGCAAACTATGGCCCACGGGCCGAATCCAGCCCATTTGAAATGAATAAAACTAAAAAAAAAAAAAAAGACCGTACTCTTTTATGTAATGATGTTTACTTTGAATTTATATTAGTTCACACAAACACTCCATCCATGCTTTTGTTCTGGCCTTCCGGTCCAGTTTAAGAACCCATTGTGGCCCTCGAGTCAAAAAGTTTGCCCACCCCTGGTCTAGAAGATCATTAAGTCTTATGTTTTAAACTGTTGTCTCACTTATCTGGTAACCTGTCTTTTTTATTTTCCAAGCAATTATTTCATGGCACTCCTGTTACAATTGAGAATTTCTTAAGTTGGAAAGCCAAGTTTGATGCAGAACTCTTGGAAATTAAAAAGAAACGAATGAAAGAAGAAGAACAAGCAGGAAAAAATAAATTAAGTGGTATGACTCGCCCCTATTTCTGTTCCCCTAAACGTTTTGGCATTAGTTCTGATATAGCAAGAGGATCATTTGAACAGATTTCTATAAGACATTTTTTTTATCCTCACCTGAGGATATGTTTACTGATTTTAGAGATGAAGGGAGAGTGAGAGAGAGACACATCGATGTGAGAGAAAAACATCGCTTGGTTGCCTCTTGCACCTGCCCCAACCAGGGATCAAATCCACAACCTAAGTATGTGTCCTGACTGGGAATCGAACCCAAAACCTTTTGGTGCACAGGACGATACTCCAACCAACTGAGCCATCCAGCCAGGGCTGTAAGAAAATATACTTAGGCATCCAGGGGGGAAAAAGAGAAAGCATTCTCTCTACATGTTGATGTATTTTCACACTTAATTATAATTAATGTTTATGGGTTATCTTTGATCTAAATATTACAATGATAGATCTTGAGATACAGCTACCATGACTTCCATGATTATAAGCCTTAGAAGTGATAGAGTCACATTTGTTTTTCTGGGACTCGAGGCAGACTAGGTTATCAGTTGTTCCATTTTTATGCAAATACATTTTATATGCCTCTTAGCTCAGTTCGTAAATTTATTGAAATTCAGAAAAACAGATTTTCAGACTTTTTCCTGGAGAGTTTTAGAAGATGGAGGAAAACTATGCTGTTCAAATTAAACATATTTATTTCTTTTAGGGAAACAGCTATTTGAAACAGATCATAATCTTGACACATCTGATATCCAGTTCTTGGAGGATGGTAAGATAATATTAGAATTCCACATGTATATATTGTACTGTTTTTAATATTAATCCATGAAAATCAGAGTAATGACAATAAATCTTTCCTCCCAAGGGTATAAAAAAATACATTTTAAAGAATAAATTCTAATGTTTGATAAATTTATACATAAACTATAGCAATATATTCTTTAAAGTTTTCTGATCACTTAAAATCAAATATAGCAATAGATAAACAATTAAGATCACATTAGCTTCTAACAACTTGTAAACCAGGCCCATGGTCAGCCATGGTCAGTGATCATCAACTTTGTATGACGAGGACATATCATTGTCTTCAATTTGTCATATGCCACATCATAAATCATTCTAGGAAGGCTTTTTTTATAACTGGATTTTTTTAGACTATGAACTGGAAGCACAAAGTTGTTGTTAAAATGTGTGAGTCTCTGCTGACCATTACAGACCATTGTTGGCCTGTAATGATTTGCAGTAGCAATTTAATATTTCATCACCTCCCTTGCATGTGGAGAAGTTTCTGTTTGTACCTTTCATTCCCAAGTATAAGACTAAAGATGAAATCTTGTTTTTTTGCAGCTGGAAACAGTGTGGAGGTAGATGAGTCTTTGTTCCAGGAAATGGATGACTTGGAGCTGGAGGATGACGAGGATGATCCAGACTACAACCCTGCTGACCCGGAGAGCGACCTGACCGACTGATGGACCATCCCCGCCTGCCGAGGCTTGACTGCCACAGCATCTGTGGTTATGCCGAGAGGGTGTTGATTTTCCTTCCTTTTTTTCTAAGAAAAAAAACAATTTTCAGGAGAATATTCTTCTGAAAGCTTTCATCAATGAACTAATAAACTGACCTTAAAATTTCAAATATAAAATGTTCAATTCCTCTTATTAGTGAGAAGAAGCTCACGTACAGTCAAACCTCATTTCTCAAACGTCTGCCATCTTGAACAATTCGGTTCTCAACTAAATTGTTCACAGAACTAATGTTGAATCATACCTTGGTTTTCCACTTGGCAACCTTTTCATGTTGATACCTCACCATGGTAAAGTCTCTCAGGCAACAAACAAAGGAGAGAAATAAACATTAGCACAATTTTAAAACATAAAGAGGCCGTCAAGAGTGCTAATGTTGTTAAAGGTGTGAAAGAAACAGTGATCACGGGCAATTGAAGAGGTAGAAAAACTTGTTTTGGATAAATGAAAAGCAGTTAGTCCAGTGATGGCCAACCTTTTGAGCTCGGAGTGTCAGCATTTTGAAAAATCCTAACTTAACTCTGGTGCCGTGTCACATAGAAATTTTTTGATATTTGTAACCATGGTAAACAGATTTATGTTTTTGATACTTATTTTATATATTTAAATGCCATTTAACAAAGAAAAATCAACCAAAAAAATGAGTTCGCGTGTCATAGGTTCGCTATCACTGAGTTAGTCAGTGACAGCATTTCGGAGGCAGTGATATGAACAAGCAAAGATATTGCATGCTGTTCTGAAAGACACCCCTGGACCAGGTGCCAAAAGTGATTTAAGGCTAGTAGGGGGTATTTTGATAAATTTAAGAAAAGAAGTGTTTATTTATAGATTAAACAGTACATTAGACATGTATATAAGAAAGGTGAAAACGGATTCATTTGGGGGTCTGGAATGGATTAATTCAATTTACAACATTTCTAATGGGAAATGATTCCGTTTTCGAAAAAATCACTTCAACAGCCCTCTGGAACGAATCAAGTTCAAGAACTGAGGTTCCACTGTATTTTAAATCATTTTGTGTTGAAAAGAGATCTTCAGACTAGAATATAGACTGCTGCTATGCTTAGGTGTGGTTTTATATACCAGGAATTGGAATAACTCAGTGACTTTTGGATTCTAAGTGTTGTCATTCATACACATACATTACTAGAAGACTGAGGTGAATAGAGTATTAAACTTTCTGAAATCTAGCCTTTGGGTATGATAAATTTAAGTCTTAACAAAACCAGAAGCACATATTACAGTCAGGAATAAAATGGACTTTAGTCCTATTTGAATCAGAACCATCTGGAGTTATTGAAGTGTTTTAGGCCCTTCTCAGTTTAAGTTAATAAACTCTGAGCCTCAATCTGAATCTTAAAACTGAAATCTCATGCCAGTGACTCTGGTTGTGATGCGCACTCCTGATTAAGAACCACTGTCCTACCCTTGTGAAGTCTATATGTCGTGATGTTCCCCTGTGCTTCTAATTAACCAGTCTGAAAGGTTCTGAATTCTGGGGGTTGTACACTGTCTACAAGAGAACCACACTCCACATCCATGCACATGTGAGACCTTCAGAATAATTTGAAATGATTGACTTGGAAATTCCAGGTAGGAGAGTCAGGCTTCGTGCAAGTTAGCCACTCACTGCAGATTTGGAGGATCGAATCTTCACCACTATGAGAAATCACTTATGCAATTGATTGCAAATACTGCCTCCATTCAAAAATTTATATGCCGCATACCCAAAAACAGCACAGTCAATCCCATGTTTATATTTGGAGTGAGCCCTTATGATTAAAATCAAATCATTTAAGACAAAGGTATCACTGAGGAATTTAATACTTTTCACCAACTTGAGCCCAACCAATACAAAGGAATGACAGTCACGTTCAACATTTCTATGCAGAGAGAAGTCTAAAAGTTTGTGTTATGTGAGGTTTTGCTTTTCCTCAGGAGATCCTTTTTGAAGCTGATCAGCAGATGTGTAAGAATCTAAAAGAGCAGTTCAGTTAAAGTTAAGAAAAGTGGAAGTCAGTGAAGACTTGACTGAAGTGTCAAGAATGACTCCACTTCCCCCTTGCTCATGATTTTTTAAAGTCTTAAGCTTTATACGTTTTCTACAGGTATCAGAGTGGATTGCCAACTTTGTCATTTCAGAATGCCATTTTCAGAATTAGGCAGAACCCAATGATATGGCAACGAAGACAAGCTGGTTAGATCTAATGATACTTCGAAGTATTTTTATCTAGAGTAAATATTAACTTTACTGTTGGCTCTGTATTCTGCAAATTAACCAAAGACTCTGGTTCTCAAACTGGAGCATACATCTTACCCAAGGTAAGTGCCTCATTCCCCTCAGCCTAGTCCCTGGTAGTTCAAAAAGCATCAGGGTACCCTGGCCTCTATCCTCAACATCATTAGGTAGAAAGGCTGGAGGTGGAACCATATGGAACTATCAGGTAAGGTGGTCTTCACATAAATGAAAGTGCTCAATGAATGAGCAAAATGAAGTCGTTATTGCTAGTGCCATGCAGACAGGTAAACTAAGCCAATTAAGGACGTGAAAATACTGGAATGTGAGCTTCTGCCACATAACCCAAGATGCTAAAAAATAGGTTATTGGTTTTGACCATACCAGTTCAAACATATCTAAATGGGATATAATCATTAAATTATCCTTCAAATTTGATGATTTCTTTAAGATTGATTCTTATAGAACTTACACTATTTTGAAAATACGGATCTGAACATGTTTCACCTATACTTTTAAGATAGTTTTTTAAAAGAACTTCCTTATATTTGGACGTATCTTCTGACATCTAAATTTTGTTTTTAAAATACCAGATCCATCTCTATCTACAGACCCCTAAGACATTAGGATCTGTTGCTTCAAAGATGTTTGTTTTTAAAGGTAAATACTGATTCTAAGGCCCTTGAAAATGACATTGAAGGAGGGGTTTAGGCACATTCTCAAAGGTAGGCATTTGATATCTCTTTCCTTGCTATTAACTAATCTTCTGGGATTCTATTTGATATAGGAGCTGCCTCCGTGAACGTGTATTTTTATATGGGGGGGTTTAGACTTCTATTTCTGATATTGGTGCTCAGTTGATGATGAATCAGCACATGTTGATCCTGCCTCAGGGAGCTTAAGCACAAGGGGGGAAAGTGAAAATTTAATACCTAATATTTTAATGCGCTACTGAAATTTAAAATATTAATTAGTATGAAAATGTAGCTGGTTCTGGTCAAAAAGGGTGAGAATTGGGATAACAGCTCTTCTAACTGTGGGAGCTTGAGAAACAGTCACTTACTCTCTGGTCCTCAATTTCCTCTGTAAGGTGGGGGTTTCAATATGCAAAATCCATTTTAAAAGGAAAATTAATAAACATGTTCAAAATTGGTCAGTTACCAGCAAAGCTCTTCACAGGGCTTTGTCTACAAAACTTGCACATCTTTCCTATTTCACTGTATTCTACCGGCCCTACACAAATTATGTGGGAGAAATAAGACTTCTATGGAGGTTAGTGCCCTTATCAAAGAGGCCCTGGCAAGCTCACTCGCCCCTTTTGCCATGTGAGGTTAGAGTGAGAAGACAGCCAAGGAAGCAGGTTCTCATATCAGACATGAATCAGCTGGTATCAGAATCTTGTATTTCCCAGCCTCCGGAACTGTGAGAAATAGATGTCTGTTGATTATAAGCTTCCCAATCCAGGGTATTTTGTTATTGCAGCCTGAATAGACTAAGACAAATACTCTGTCTTCTGCCATCTTACCTACTAATAAAACATGTAAAATGACCGTCCCTCCGCTATGCTCACCAGCCAATCAGGAGAGTATGCAAATTAACCCAACAATGATGGTTAAATTACATACATAGGCCGAAGCGGCGCAGCAAAGACTGAAGGCTCCAGCCAGAGCAAATGCCTGGGTCCTGGGTGTCGGACGAAAACCGGTGCCGGCAGCCAGGGGAAGGGAAGACCTATTGCACGAATCTCTTCGTGAAACAGGCCTCTAGTTATTTCATAAAGTCTAATTCAGGAGAAAACAAAGATTACTTAGCAATGCAGGTGGCAGCTTCCTTCAACTACACTTGCACAAATGCTGCCCAGCATTTGCATCTGTAGCAGCAAAACTACTTCAATTAGAACAATTCTGATGGGCATCTTAGCTCCTTAGCTGTGTGTGTGTGTGTGTGTGTGTGTGTGTGTGTGTGTGTGTGTGTGGTAACTGCTTTGTGGTCCAACTTTTCCCTTCGCCCATTCATGCTTCCTTCACTCTGGCACAGGTATTGTTCCTGAGAGCACTTTGCATGTCTGCATACTAATCTCAGTCTGTTTCCTGAGAGAACCTAACTTAAAATATCTCACAAAATGATTTTAATGAAAGCAGCATGGTGACCCAAAGGCAGAACAGCAATGGTGCAGAACTGGCTGAGAGCAGAGTTTGGAGGGATAGCTCTTGACTCATGCCCTTGGCTATTCATAGACTCCAAGTGTTGCTGGGGAAGTGGTTCTGGGTGGGGGTTGGAAATGTGGAGGAGCATTGTTGCTTGTCATAATATATCAGGGTGGGCAGAAGCCAGAGACACTAGGCATTTTCTTGTGTGAGGACAGTTCATGAAAAACTTCTGACTCCTGCATGCATTTCTAATGTTCCTCTTGACATTCCTGGCTGTCAAAACCCCATATAACTACATTAGAAAACAGTGTTGTGGAAAAACAGAGGTGTGGTGGGTGTGATAAAGTTTAGAACTTTTTCTAGAATATAAAGAAATTCCATTAAGCTCCTGTAACAGGTGAAGTGCTAAGAGAATCTGAGAAGAGATCTCAGGTCGGGATAAGGAGGCTCCTGAATAGGAAGAACTTGAGACACTTGGGAAAGCAAGACCCACATCACCAGCAGCACTTGCCAGTTTCATGCAACAGACTCCTGTGCTGGAGTCCAGGGGGAATGAGAGGGTCTTGGTGGAGGTCTGCAAAGCTCAAAGAAACAGAACATCAGCCAGATGAGAAGAGCCTCCCTTCACCAACATGTGGACAGTAAGCTTCCCTGTCATAGGCCCTTTTGGGAAGGAGAAATTAGAAGATCAATTGAGAGGGGAGAAACAGCACTGACAGGAACTCCATCGTCATTAAATTTACTGGTCACTGTTTAACACTGAAAGAGACAAGTGATCTTTAATCTATAGGCTTAAATTATTTTTATAGTGAGAAGGAGGATTTGAGACTAAGATGAGATTGGTTATAGATAATAGAAAGTAATCTTTCCCCCCCAATAACTGCTGAGCAATAGAGTGTAATCCTTTTACTGGATTGCAGAAGAATTAAGACAGTATAATTAAAACATTGGCTTGAGTTTGAATCAGTGCTACGAGGCGGTTTCCAGGGAACAAATCCTGTAGTTAATGGATAAGCATAGAGAATATCCTATGAAAGATAGCTGAGAATATGGAAGTCAAGTAGGTCCTGCAGTTACACTTCAAGAATATTAACTGGTAGTTATATAACAAAGATAGTGTGGAAGCAAGTATGATTTTTTTCTTCTTCTTGTTCCATATTTGTTATGACGCAAAATTAAGTACATGCCCAAAGCTTGTGTTGTGCTTGTGAATGGGAGAAATGAGATTTATGTGAATTTTATTCTGAGTTACCATACGATACAAACACAAATTTCCCCATTTAATAAGAATTTTTTGTTCATATGGAGTTAGTCCATTTTGCTAAATACAGGGTGTATTTCTCAGATTGCTTTTTCTAATGAATCCTATATAATAAAAGGCCACACAATGCAAATCAACCAAACAGCGGAATGACTGGTTGCTATGATGTGCGATGACCACAAGGGGGCAGACGCTCAACACAGGAGCTGCCCCCTGGTAGTCAGTGCGCTCCCACAGGGGGGTGGCCGCTCAGCCAGAAGCAGGACTCACAGTGCAACAGCGGTGGTAGGAGCCTCTTCCACCTCCATGACAGTACTGAGGACCCCTCTGGGGATGTCCACCTGCTGGCCTAGCGGGGAGCAAACCTAAACTGGCAGTCAGACATCGACAGAGGGGTCCCAGACTACGAGATGCTCCTCCCCCGCCGACCCCTCCCGCCCTGCACCCCCAGTGCATGAATGTTGTGCACCGGGCCTCTAGTATCTAAATAGCATTACACTTCCATACCTCTTTTAATCATGAAAAGGACACCATTGTCATCTATCAACCAAATTCAGTATATTGTCTTGAAAATATACTCACAAGTGCCACCTAGTGGTTAAAGAATCTATTGCATGTGTAGCTGCCACTACTGTTCTGCAGAACAGAGGGCAAAAAAACTAAAACAAACAAAAAACAGAAGAGCTTACCTCCCATCCTTGCCAACTCTTCAAATCTTGTCTCCCCTCTACAAAAGTCCTGCCTTCGTTTACTCTGGGTGTCAGCGAGTTGTGGGGTTTGTTGTTGTTGTTTTGGTGTTGATCCTGACTTTGTAGATGTTTCCAAAAATGCCAGAACTTCAGTAACAGAGTTTGGTGTTCGCTGTGGCAGGCAGCAGAATCTGGATTTTCAGTTACAATTTTTGGCGACTCTTCTGGGACTGTGTGGACTCCGGTAAGGTCCTGAGGGCCTGGGCTGAGGGTCCCAGCTGCTTGTGGTAGGCTGACCCCATGGCAGGGACCAGCAGCTGTTGAGAGTTCTTTATCTCAGGACTCTCCCTGCTCTCCCTCTCAAGGCATCAGGGGCCTGAAACACTCAGCTGGTGGAAGGAAACAGGTCTCTGTGGAGTCTGTGGACTCCAAGTCTGACTGGGTATGTCAACCTGGGGGCACAGGAGGGGTCCTCTATCACTGCGCTCTGGTCTGTTTAGCCATCCAGGACTCGGCAAGGAGTCATCTCTGGTATCACTTAGGCAGGGGTAAGACTCTATGACTTTAATCCCAGTTCCTCCCTGGGAGGGAATCAGTTTATGTCTGAGAGCTCTGGTCTGTCTGTTCTAAGTGCTCTCTGAGAGCCCTCATCTGTCTGAAATGAAACTTTGGTACAATTGTTCTTTGCTTGTTTTCTTCTCTTTTGGGGACTTACTTTGATCTTTGCTGTTTTGTAACTCATTTGTTTTGACCTTGTCGTTCTTTAGATTATTTTTCCTGTCATGAAACAAGAGACTTGGTCTTGGTTCCATCTGAGAGTCCATTAAGTGGTATTTTAGCTAACTGGTTAATTAAAGTCAATAACAAATCAGAATTGCTTTTGCCAAAGGTCTGGTAAATAGGATAAGATCTCTTATGTGCAAGATTTCATGTTACATGATAAAAATTCTACTCTGAAAGAATCTACATTGATTGTTCAAAGTGGTGGTGGGGGGGGGGAAGTTTCACTCCCAACCCCCAACAGTAAAACTCAAGATCATTAAAATAAAGAGTGGAATGGTGGTTTCTGAGGGGCTGGGAGGTGGAGAGAATGGGAAGATGTTGGTCAAGGTCTACAAACTTTCAGTTAAACAATGAGAAGTTCTGATGATTTAATACACAGCATTGTTACTATAGCTAATACTGTATTGTATACTTGAAATTTGCTAAGAAAATATATCTTAAGTCTTCTCACCATAAAACAAGAAAGTGTGACATATGCAGGGGGGGAAAAGCAGTTAATAAAAACTGACCCAGTAACTATTAAACGTACATTGGAAGGTCTCCATAGCAAATTCAATCTGGCAGAAGAAATCATCAGGGAATGTAAAGATAACTTAATCAAGATAATCCAATCTTAAGAAAGATAGAAGAATACAAAAAAGAAAAGAAAAAAGAAAACTTGAACAGATCATCAAAGATCTGTGGGAAAGGAGAGACATGCTAACTCTTGGAGATCAGAATCTAGACAAGTTCCAATACCCAGGTTTCAATGAAATGTACCATATGCCAAGAAACAGTGTCTTCGTTCATTCACAGACAGTTTGTGTTAACTGCTCTATTTTTAGGAATGTCACACTTCCCTGTTTCTCCTGTATTTCTTTGTTATTTTTAATTGTTTGTTATAGTGAGTTCCTAGAATTAACTTTATGGAAGAGTCTGTTTTCCCAGATATATGCAGTCTTTGTGTCTCCACTAAGTTTTGTGGGTTTAAAAGAATAGTTTTATCTTTAAGTCTGAGCCACCATAGCTCACTGGTTCAGTCAATAATAGGAATAATATTTATATGCTTAAGTATCTTAAATTTATAAATTTTCTACCTTTTCACTGTTTATGATTGACATAAAATTTAAAAGTTCAATGACCATAAGTTTTAGTTTACTTTCCTCAAGCTATTTATTTTAATTATTGACTCACATTATTATTTTTTAATCCTCAACTGAGTATATTTTTCTATTGAATTTTAGGGAGAGTGGAAGAGAGAGGGAAAGACAGAGAGAAACGTCAATGTGAGAAAAACACATCAACTGGTTGCTGCCTGCATGCACTGTGACCTGGGCCTAGGCCAGGGAGAAGCCTACAACCGAGGTACTGCCCTCGACCAGAATTGAACCCGGAACTCTTTAGTCCACAGGCCTACACTCTATCCACTGAGCCAAACAGGCTAGAGCCTCACATGATTCTTTATAATCATTAACATACTGTGTCTTCATGAAATGGGTTATTGATTTATTTTACTCGAGAAATCACTGTGAGAAAAAGGCAGCCTGAATACTTGCAAGGTGATATTTCTGTCACATTAAACCCTTATTTTCCCAGCAATAAATATTTCTCCAATTAAAGGGATTGAAGTCTTCTTTTGGGTCAAATTTTTATTCAGTAAAAAGTAACCATAGAAAAGATGAAAGTACAAACTCCAAGTTACTAACAATAGTTCTAGGTAAGAAATACAAGCTAACTTTACCTAGTGTAGTGCCTGCAGAATAGGGGTGAGGGAAACTGTGTTAGGAAGAACTTGAGTTGTGTTCCAAATCAGATAGGGTGCCACCTGTAATGTCAACAGAGGCAAAAGAGACATTATTTATCTTCCTATATGTGAAGAAATATTTGTTATTCAAGAATCTACAACGGAAGAGAAGCAGCAGTTAAGGTCAACAAGCCAAGTGAACAGAGGGGGAATTTGAACAGACTTTAGGACATTCATCTTTTGCGGCCATTCTATTTAGAAGACAAACTGACTGGTACATTGTGTGCCTGTGAAAAAGCTGCCACACAACAGTATCTCAAGAACAAACGCCAGAACCTACCACTACTTCTGAGATATAGTGGCATAAAGACCTTTCCAACATTTGCCCAATGAGGGTTATAATGGCTGATAAATGGTGATTGGCAGTTAAATGAGTATTACATTTGTGTCAAGAATGTTGTAGAATTTGGGAAAACACCGAATCCTTTGGAAGTTAATCCACTTACTATTTGCAGATCTGGCCTTTTCTACTCATCTTCTCAGTTCTTCACACTACATTTTTCTCAATTCTGTTTCATAAGAAACAACACAAAAATTTAAAGGCCCCAATAGTAGTGCTATTGAAGTAAAAACAAGTGAGTTCATTGTACTGATGATCTGTGGGCATAAGAGAGTCATGAGTGGAGCAGTAAACACAAACATCTATGTTTTCTGGATTTATTCCAAAGCAAGGACTTTGAATCCTACCGGGCAGCCCTGAGTATCTTTGAGCTGGTTGAACCATTTATCATCCATTATTTGTGGTCAACCAGTCTATTGTGAGGTCATTATGTCAGTATCAGCCAAACCCCTTCTCTTGGGTGAATTATTGATTCTGAGAGCACTGCTAATTGGTTAATCATTAGTGTGGACTAGTTACTGCTTACCTGTATCTTTCTCCATTGGTAGCAACACCAAGCATGTCAAACTCACGGCTGGCGGGCCACATGCTTTATCAGCCGCGAGTTTGACATGTTTGCCTTACACAGATTCAGAGCCAAGTTCAAACGGGAAACGTTCAGTCAGGGATGCAGGGCAAGCGTGATGATTCTCTGCATCTGCCAGTACACTCTGGGTGTTTGGTGTTTCATCTACTGGGATTTATAAATTGTTTTTAATGTTTAATATACCATCTGCAACAAGCCATGTGCCACATGTTACTCTTTATATAAAAACTAGAGGCCCAATGCATGAAATTGTGCAAGAAGCTTGGCCCTCTCAGCCCCCGGCTTTGTCTGGAAGGTCGTCCAGAAGGTGGTTGTGCTGTTAGTCCTAATTAGCATATTAGCTCTTCATTATATAGGATTGTTTGTTGTACTGAAAGGTTGCTGTCTCAGAATGTCAAATCCTATAGGAAAGCAAACGTTTATCAACTGCATTTTAAGCAAATCCATAACCATACCTACCACTTTTGAATTTTGTCATATTGGACAGCTATTGCTTTACTCTAAATTGCAGGCTTCTAACCAGGTCATATCTTTGAATTAAATGAAGGTTTGTAGAACTTCAGGGAATTATTAGTTAGAAATAATAAGAACAATGTATATATAGAAGGTGGTACCATTCCAGCATACCTAGGTGAAAGCTTAAAAAAAGGAAATTTAAAAACCTCAGGTTAGGTTTAATATGAGTGTGATGTCTCTATATGAGAGATGAAATACTTGAATGAGGTTTTGGAAGACCTCAATATATTTGTCAGGGTGTTTGGAGAACTTTTCTAAATTACCTTTAATTTGTCTTATGTCCCGGGGTGAGAAGGGGATCTGGAGTAAAGTATGACCAGATCCTTTGTCTTAGGGCAAGTTGAGACCAGCTCAGCCCTCGGTGGGATGTGGCCCCCACCGTTTCCTCTGGTGGATTTTGACTTATTATTGCTAGGAGCATGGGATTGAGTTTACAGTTCCTGCCTGTCTTGGGCTTGTCCTCTAGAGTAAAGAAAGTCTGGACATATGGGACTTCTAACCATTTTTCTTCCTTCCTATAGAAAAGGTCTAATTGTAGGATGGTGTTATACTTAAGGCTTCCCTCTGAGGGCAACTCTCCCCATTCGCCAGTTGGTATTGAGGCCAAACCTGAGTGCAGAAAAAAACCAGGAGCTATTTTTTTTTTAAGTTTGTGGGTCAGAATTATTCCAATTTTTGAGGGGCTGCTTTTATGTGGTGTGAATGACAGGCTTCCCACTGAGAGGAAAAAATGCAGAAGGATGTTCCCTTTATCCATTGTGCTTCACAAAGGCCGTCCTGTGTCCATTGTCACTAGCCTTGGCAGTGGGGCGTCCCTCACCTCTCACTAGGAGTGAGGTTACCTTGTCCATGTCCTGTCGCAAATAAGGCTGCCGGGTGGACTAACCACACTTACCACCACGGTGAGGACCCGAAATCACGCAGAAGGTGTCTCCTGCCTCCCTAACCTGTGGGGGAAGCGTGCATCACCTGTGTCCTGCTCTCAGGCCCCTTGTCTGTGATTAAAAGTGCCTGAGGTATCCATTCATGTGTTTGCAGTACCCACTGAATTGGATGGTTAAGAAGCTACTGACGTTAATTCCCAAGGGGTTTACTCTAGGATGTGGACTTAAGAGAGTTTGCATAGTACTTGTAACCCTGGTTAGGCCAGTATGCAGGGATCCGAGGAGAGTACAAACAGCTCTGTTCCCACCCCTTCTATGCCCTTGTCATTAGAGGATTTATTCTCTGCCTGATTTCAGGGGCAAAGATGGAATCTATTTCAAGCCAAATTTAGTACTTTAAACCTTCTGCTCACTGGCTTAATTCTTTATTTTTACTGAACCTAAATTTCTGCTGTTTTACTTCCAAACCTTAAAAATGCCACCTCAGAGATTTTACCTCCTTTCAAGCAGGGCAACTAACTTGATCGCTTCCTAGAAAAATGCCTGGGAGAGGGACATGCTAGTTGACTTTGCAGGGAACAGTTTAGGTAAAAGGCACACCTTCTTTGTTCTTATCAATGGTGAGAAAACATTTCAGTTACTCTGTGAACATTGGTGGAAGAGGTTTTTACATTTCCCCTTAAGACCAGCGTTCACTTGTATATTTTACTTAGGTATGCTAGGAAGGAGGTTCCACCTTCTATATATATATATAATTTTGTATTATCTCCAGATAATAATTCCTTGAAGTTCTACGAGCCCTTATCCAATTCAAAGATATGACCTGCTTAGAAGCCTGCAATTTGTAGAAAGTCAGAGTCCTTTTTAATGGGTTTCTTTAAAGACTTAATGCACCAGAGTAAAGCCATGGCTGTCCAATATGACAAAATTCGAAAAGTGGCATGGTTATAGATTTGTTTAAAATGCAGTTGATAAAAACCTTTACTTTCCTATAAGATACTAGAGGCCCAATACATGAAATTTGTGCAAGCGTAGGCCTTCCTTCCTCTGGCTGCCAGCACCGGCTTTTCTCTGGCACCCGGGATCCAGGCTTCCCTCACAGAGGGAGGCCCTGCCCATCTGCCACAGCCTGTCGGCCGGTGGGGGCTCCCTCTATGGGATGATCGTGGAGCCCCCTGATTGATTGCCCCACCGGATGGTGGCCTGGGCCTCCCTCTGCGGGGCGATCATGGAGTAATGGCCAGGCCCCCGACCAATTGCATCATACCCGCCTTGGCTGGCCTGGTGCCAGTGGGTGTCATAGTGTGGTTGTCCGGAAGGTTGTTTGGTCTAATTACCATATTATGCTTTTAGTATTATAGATGGCATTCTGAGACAACAACCTTTTAATAAATAATGCCTGAAAAATGACATAGAGAACAACAAACAATTTTTACATAAAGAATAGCATGTGGCACGTGGCTTATTGCAGATGGTGTGATAAACATTGAAAACAATAGATAAACCACAATAGATGAAACCCACAAACACCCAGAGTGTCAGTGACAGACGCAGAGCATCATCCCACTTGCCCTGTGTCCCTGACTGGAGATGTGTCATTTCTGAAAGTTTTCCGTTTGACCTTGGCTCTGAATCTGAGTACATTCTTTTCTGAAGTAGACTGAAACCTCTCTAACATTCAAAATATATGTATCTAAATAGATCACAGTTATTAATTTTTTATTTGACAAAGCTTCCTCATGTAATTTCAAGTATTTTGAATTTGCCCAATTTAGTTCAAAAATAATTTCTTTTTTAGAGGAGAGAATAGATCCTTGAGGTGCCCACAGTCCATTGGGGTGTCCCAAAGGTATTTCTCAGTCTAAAGCAGTGATGGGGAACCTTTTGAGCTCGGCGTGTCAGTATTTTGAAAAACCCTAACTTAACTCTGGTGCCGTGTCACATATAGAAATTTTTTCATATTTGCAGCCATAGTAAAACAAAGATTTATATTTTTGATATTTATTTTATACTAGAGGCCCAGTGCACAAAAATTTGTGCACTGGCGGGGGGAGGGGGGGGGTGGGGGTGTCCCTCAGCCCAGACTGCACTCTCTCGCAGTCTGGGACCCCTTGGGGGATGATCACCTGCTGGCTTAGGCCTGCTCCCCAGGGAATTGGGCCTAAGCTGGCAATCAGACATCCCTCTGCAGCCCGACAGCCCTCAGGGGATGCCCACTTGCCAGTGGGGAGCAGACCTAAGCTGCAGTCAGACATCCTTAGCGCTGCTGAGGAGGCAGGAGAGGCTCCCACCACCACCGCTGTACTGGCAGCCATCAGCCTGGCTTGTGGCTGAGCAGAGCTCCCCCATGTGGGAGCGCACTGACCGCCAGAGGGCAGCTCCTGCATTGAGCATCTGCCCCCTGGTGGTCAGTGTGTGTCATAGTGACCAGTCATTTCCAGTTTCTCTGCTGTTAGGTTCAGTTTGCATATTACCCTTTTACTATATAG